CAGCAGCCGGGGCAGAGGAGCCCAGCAGGAGGCACAGCCCATCAGGCACAGGCGCTCGTGCATGTGCAGGGTCCGGCCCCACCAGGCCAGCTCCGCCCGCAGGCCCTGGATCTCCTTCCGCAGAGCATGGTTGTGTTTCTCCAGGGCCTCGTGCTGCTGCAGGGAGAAGCAGAGGGGCAGGGAGGGAGTCAGCCAGCACCAGGGGCTCCCATGAGCCCTACTCACCGCCACCCATCGCCAGGCCCTCAGGGTTCTCAACGAGGGAAAGGATACCACCGCCACGCCAATATGCAAGCTGGGGCCCTGGGCTACCTCTGGCCAGCCCCCTACAACCACCCCCAAGACTCCCCCCATTCCACCTCCTCCCGGGGCTCAGTCGTGCTTGCTCCTATCCTCAATTCCCCGGGCCAGTGGCCTCTCCCGGCCTGCTATTTCCGCTCACCTGGGAGCTCCACCAGCCTCCTAACTGGGGCAACCCCCCAAACCACCCCGTTTCCTTGGCCCGAGGAACCATTGGGCAACTGTGTCATTAACCAAACAGGAGAGCCTTCAAAGGCTCCCACAACTCCCTGTGCGTGGTGATCCCAGCTCACACTTCCAGCTTTATCTCTGGACTTCTCCCGCCCCTCCCACTTCCAGCCCCTCCATGGACCCTGCTTCCTCAGAGCGTTTCCTGTCTCCTCTGTCTGGACGCTCTTCAGGCGCCCCCTATGCAGCGGAGCCCCCTACTGCCCGGACACCTCCAGGCTGCTCAGCGCCCTGCCGGACCCCCCAGCGCCCTGCCGGACCCCCCAGCACCCTGCACTTCCACTGAAGCCAGGGTTCTGTTCAGCATCCCTGATCAGCTTGGGTCAGGTTCTGTCCTGCTGGGTTCTGAGAAGCCACGGGGACAAAAATCAACGTGCACTTCTAAACAACCACTTATGAGCAGAGGTGGCAAAAGCAGAAAGAACTCTATTTCTTGGGAGAAAAAGGAGACACGTGTAATACTTTAAAAAATAAAGATTTTTTTTCAAAAAGAAGGAACTCTATTTCTGTGCCTCATGAGGCTGAATGACTTCCTTTGGTTCCCTCCCTCACCCTACTCTTGTGGACACTTTTTTAAAGAAGAAGTTGCAAGAGTGTTTTACATAAAAATGTTGCTTAGGTCATGGACTCAAAGTCCCAACAGGCGTCAAAGCCACCAGCAGCCCCATCCAGGCTGGTCTCTGCACGTGGAATGACATTTTAAAAATGTCATTAGGTCACCCTTCACTTAAATTCTCCAAAGGCTTCAATTCACCTCCAGAAATGGAGTCATTCACTCATTCATTCGTTCATTCATTCATTTGCCACCTTAAGCTGCTCACATGTCACCCACTCAAGGAGGGCGTCCCTTGTTAGGTTTCCTTCACCCACCTGCCCCCCTGGCTTCCCTGCTTTAATTTTCCCCGTAGCGATCACCACCTGACATCCCAATCACCTCATGAGCCATTCACTCCTCTGCCCGGCTCCCCCCTATCAATATGAGCCCTGGGGAGGGCGGGCTGCTTTTGGCTGCTGAGTTCACAGCTGTGTCTCCAGAGCTTAGACACACAGCCGTGCGGGGTCTGCTCACAGGTGGGTGGGGAAGAGGCCGCCGGGCAGGTAAGCGCGGGCAGGGTCGGGAAGGGCAGAAGCCCCACCTGGTGCAGGGCGTCTGCCTTGTCCGTGTGCTTCCTCCGGCTGCGCTGGGCTGACGCCCGGTTCTTCTGTTTCTTCTTCAGCTGCCTCTGATGCCCCTCGGGGTCCTGCAGGCCACAAGCAAACGGTTCAGGCCCCGGCAGCGGCTGGTGCCTTCCATCCTGGCCTAGTGTAAAGCCATGCCCTACCCAAGTCCCCAAAGGTCCCCTTTCCCCAGAAGCCACCTCTGGCTCCCTTGGAGCCCACACCCCCCATCGCAGGCATGGCGCGCCCCGTCGGAATGCCGGCCTTACTCAGTGTCAATGTCCTGCTCACACCTCACGTTGGGGGAGGACCACCGAAGAAGCTGAGAGGCTGGGATTCGAACCCAGACAGACCTGACTCCACTTCCACACTCTCTTTATCAGCTATGTCTCTCTCTCTCTGAACCAAACTTATCCATTCCATGACAAAGCAGGTGGCCCAGGGCCAGGCGGTAATAAGGGTCAGCCTCCCACCAGTTATTTCCACAGTCAGGTGGTTTCCCTAGCGGCCAGCTCCATCGTGAGGGGGCGGGGCCTGACCGCTCCATGAGCCCATGCTCAACTCAGGCCCAAAGGTGATATTCGCCTACTCAACCCATATTTATTGAGCACCTACTGTGTGTCAGGCTCTGAGCTAGGGGGACACAGCAAGACCCTTTCCTTCCCCGCCCTCAAGTTGCTCACATTCTAGCAGGGCAACAACCTAGAATGAATGCAGGAAGTTGGTTCTGATGAAAGAGTGGACTCAAAGGTGGACAGCTGCAACCTTTCCCTGCCCCCGGGCCCCGGGTGAAGGGTCCATGATACTTAGATGAACTATTTAACCCCAATGCCCAGAGTTTTGGAAGGTCAGGCAAGAAGGAATGTTGGCGGCCCCGCAACCCAACCTCCCCTCACTCAGGTCCCCCCGGGAGGTGTGTTCTGAGTGTAGGGAGCTCAGGTGAGACCCTGGCCTCCCTGGCTGAGGACGCTCTGCTCCTAGGTCCATGGCCACAGCAGGCCCATTCCAAGTGCTGGGGGTGGGGGGCTGGGGAGCCTCGGGGGAGGGGAGGCTGGAGCTTGGGGGAAAGATCCGCAGTGAGAGAAGGGGGTGGCCTCGGGTCTTGGGAGAGGGGCAGGGCCTTCAGGAGAAACCACTCTGGATAATTTGGGAAGGTAAGAGAGGCTGCCCTAAGGGCAGTGAAGGGAGAACAGGTGGGTTAGGAGAGAGCAGTATTGAGGCCAAGTCTAACCTGGAGGCTGGAGCTGCAATGTGAGAGCTGGAAAGCCCTCATTCTGATCCCTGAGGAAACTGAAGCCTCGAGGGGGGGTTTTGCGGGGGGGGCGTGGAGCCCAGCCCATGTACAGAGCTGGGATGAGGAGCTCTGACCCTGTTCTCCCCACCCAGGCACTGGGGACCCTCAGCATATGTCCCTTCTCCTCCCCGCTCCCTGGATCCCTGTACTCACCGTCCCCGTCAGCAGCCCTTCACCCCCACAGATGTGCATGGCTTGGGCAGTGGGACAAAGGCTCACATCTGGTTCAGGGTGGCCCTCAGCTGCTGTGACCTCCCAGTGCCCTCTGGGAACCCAAGGAAGTGGTGGCTTTTTAAGTCCCCAGTGACCACTCCGCCCCCGGCAAGCCAAGTTTCAGTTTCTTCTAAAGCCACCGGCTGCCCAGAATCCCTAGCTCGGGTTGGCTCACGTGGCTGGAATTTCCTAACATGCACTGGCCTTCCGGTTGGGCCGTTTCTCTGGGAGGAGGGCAGTGGAGGGGGGCAGAGGAGGGAGATCCAAGCCCAGGTGTGGGGTGTTCCGGGGGAGGGAGAGCAGGCTGCCAGGGACAGAGTCAAGGGAAGACAATGGGGACCGGAAGAGCCCAGGTTCACAGCCCACCTCTGGCACACGGGAGCTATGGAGCGTTGAGAAGGTGATTCCCCCTGTCTGAGCCTTAATTTTTGTCTACTGTAAAGGGTGTTAGGAGATGATACAAATACCCACTCACAGGCTTGATGTAGGAACCGCGGGAGGTAATACAACCACCCCAAACCCTCTGAGACCAATGTTGAGGCAAAAATAACCAGTGGCCCTTACATAGGAGAGCAGGTGCGTACATTATTGGGTTCTCATTCGACAGACCGCGCAGCACCGGAGAACGGTGTCAGAAGCACAGCTGCCAAGCCAGCGACGAGGCTCAGGTACGGAACTTCACCTCTCTGTGCCGCTGTTTCCAAATCTGTAACGTGGGGGTAAAAATAGTTTTGTCGTGAAGATTAAGTGAGTTAGGGCAGGTGAGGCAGCTAAACCGCGCCTGCTGCAGAGCGAGGGCTCCCTAGATGTTCGCAGTTGCGATCCGCTGGGAGATTCAAAGCTGCACTGAGCATCATGCCTGTGAGTCCGTAACATCCCACTGTGTGACAGTAACAGCGGCCACAAGATCTGAATATAACGTCTGTAAGGTTTACAAATGTGCATATGTAAATATGGAATGAAAGTGTAAACTACGCAGGAGAAAGACTCAGAGAGCTGGGCCGAGGGGGACACAGGAACTTCAGTTGTGTCTGTGGTGTTTTGCAGCGTAAGCTGTGGGAACACAGTTCTGTGTGATAATACTGTCTACACTTTAGGGTGTATATGAAATGTTTTATAATTAAAAATCCTATTAGCAAACCTGGAAGCCCCAGGCAAACCTGAATGGCGGTTGTATCTCTGAGAGACCATGCTTAGAAGGAACATCTTTTGGGGGGTAGGAGCCAGTAACCCCTGTCCAAGAACTGCATGCACAATGCATTCTTGTGGTCTGGTGACTAGGGCATCTGGGAGTTGTGCCTAAGTCCTGAAGGCCCAAGGCTGATGGTGTGGGATCTAAAGAATGGCCAATACTGTGGATTTGATCTCCTGGAGATGGTGTCCTGGAGTACTGTGCTGAGGAGTGTGAAGCTGCCTCTGATCCTATCTAATAAAAGCCTGATATGCAAATTGTCCCCTTTGACCGGGAGTTCAACCAGGGGGCGGGGCCGGCTGGCCAACTGCCCGTGGCTCCTCCCCCCGGCTGGCCCCGCCCCAGCCAGTGGTGGTGGCAGGTGGCAGGGGGAAGGGAGGCCCTGGCCAGCAGCCGGCAGCCACTAGGGACCCTACCTATGCATGAATTTTGTGCACTGGGCCTCTAGTATTTTTACAAAAGAGCACTTCAATTGATTAGCAATGCCTGCCAGGCCATGATTGATTAGCAATGTCTGTCATGAGCAGAGCATGAGAGTAATAGTTCCCTGAGCCACCTAGAATTGGGGATGAAACCAGTCTGGGCTTTAGAGTTAGAAGATTTGACTCTGACAGCTGGCTCTCTATTGACCAGGTCTATCCTTGCACCTCAGTGTTCTCATGTATATGCTGGGCCTGACAAGGAAATCATACCTATTTCACAAAGTTGTTTTGAAGATAGAAAAGAAGGAAATGAGAAGAAAGCTCAGCTGGAATTCATTCCGGTTCCTGAGATTTTGTGGAAATTCAGGATTCACGCAGGCTCATAATGTAAAAGGACTGGGTGGCCCTGGCTGGTGTGGCTCAGTGGTTTGGGTGTCACCTCTTGCACGGAGAGGTTGCCTGTTCAAATCCTGGTTGGGACGGCTAATCCATGCTCCCTTCTCACATGGATTTCTCTTTCTCTCTCCCCTTCTCTCTCTAAAAATCAAATTTTAAAAAATGTATTTTTTTAATAAAACGACTGGGTGGATGGGAATGGGCGTGACAGCTGGGCCTGACACTCCTTGCTTGTGAGGGGCCTGGGAACAGAGACTGGAGTGGGGCACCCCAGGCACTGAGACTGCCCTGATTTCTCAGAATTATTTTTGTTTCCCAGAAACCAGGAGGGTTGGGCGTCTTGCCTGAGACGAGCACCTACGGGGCTCATTAAGCCAGTCCACAGAAGGATCCAGGGAGCCACATGCATGATGTAACAAAGAAAAAACATTTTGCGGGGAGGAGGTGGCTAGGGCTGGAGTCCCCAGCCCCAGACCTGAACCCCGGTCTTCCCCTCTCCAGACCCCGGCTTTGGGTGGGAAACCCTTAGCAAGTGTGCCTGTGGCCCCTCCCAGGAGGCCTCGACCCTGGAGGAAAACCAAAGAAGGCAGTGTTTATGGCCTGAGGCCGCTGAGGAGTGGTAGGGAGGGGTGGCCAGAGTGGGTAATGTTTAACCATGAACGGCTGCGCGAGGCTTCCCCACAGGGAGGGACCCCTCCCAGGCTGGCAGCGCAGGCTTCAGGGCCATCCGGTCCAGCCTCTGCCTTAGAAGTGAGGGAACTAATGCCTGAAAGGCTGTCTGGTGGGAGAGGGCAGAGCTGGAGGGAGGACACACCTCTCTCCCCTCACCCCCACCGCCGCCCTCCCTCTGAATCAGGCTTGTGGAAGGGCCTGGTTCGAAGCCTGCAGCCCAGATGGGTGAAGGCTCGGAAGCCTCCCAAAACCAAAGCTCTTGGGCAGCAGGATCACGACCCATCTTGCTCCCTGAAGTATCCCCCGGTGCCTCAAACACTGCCTCACAGAATAGGTGCTCAAGTAATGAACACATGCACCGAAGTCCAGCAGGCAGCTTGCCATCCAGGAACCCCAAAAGCTTCCTGGATGCGAGAAGAAGCCTTTGCCTTACTCATTCCTCCAGGACCTGCCCTGGGCTCCTGGGGAGACTCTCCCTAACCAACCTTCTCACTTTCCCATTGAGGAAACCGAGGCACAGGGAGGGGACAGTCACACGGCTGGTTTGGGAGAAGTTGGGCTGCGCTGGTGCTCTGTCCCAGTGCCTTCCCACCCCTGAGGGTGGAGAGACCCTGGGGGTTTCCAACTGCCCAGGGGTGAGAGCCTTCTTTCTAGGCCCCCCACCCCCCACCACCACGTGGATCCCTCATTTGGGGCCTGGTTTCTTCCGGGCATCTCGAAGGAGCTCCAGACGATGAATAGCAGAGAAAGAGGCAGGTGGCTGCTGGCAGGGCTGAGGCTGGCTATCGACTTCCCACTTGCAATTGTGGATGGGCCTCGTGGGAACTAAGTCTCAGCTGGGACGCACGCAGGGCACATGGACTGGCAGGGCAGAAGGTGCACTTCCTGTTGGGGAGTCAGCAAAGGCTTCCCAGAGAAGTGGGTGGGCTCTCCCGGGCCTGGAACTTGATCTTGGACAAGTCACTTAACTAACCTCTTTAAGCCTCATCTGTAAAATGAGGCGATAATAAGGATTTGATGAAGTAATGTATGTAAAGGGCTTAGAACAGTGCCTGGCACACAGTAAGTCACTGTTAAACATCCATTAAACTTTTTTTTTTAATATATTTTTATTGATTTTTTTCCTGAGAGGAAGGAGAGGGATAGAGAGTTAGAAACATCGATGAGAGAGAAATATCGATCAGCTGCCTCCTGCACACCCCCTACTGGGAATGTGCCCGCAACCAAGGTACATGCCCTTGACCGGAATCGAACCTGGGACCCTTCAGTCCGCAGGCGGATGCTCTATCCACTGAGCCAAACCGGTTAGGACTCCATCAAACTTTTCACAAAGGCACTCAATAAATTCCTGATGAAATTTTTGTTCACATAACAATAGGCTTGTATTTTATTTTATTTTATTTATTTATTTTTTTTAAAATATATTTTATTGATTTTTTTACAGAGAGGAAGGGAGGGACGTGCCCACAACCCAGGTACATGCCCCTGACCGGAATCGAACCCGGGACCCCTCAGTCCGCAGGCCGACGCCCTATCCACTGAGCCAAACCGGTTTCGGCAATAGGCTTGTATTTTATTCATTATTATTATTACGTTTAAGAAAAAAAATGGTGGAGTACAAGAACAGGGACGAAATTATTTATCTAATGAAATACCTTTGTAATGAAAAAAAAAGGTAAGTTAATGACTGTGTCCATGTGTAAGCAGCAGCACTTGCCGAAGCTGATTTTGCTCAGCGGTTAGAGCGTCAGCCCTCAGACTGAGGGTCCCAGATTCAGTTGTGATCAAGGGCACGTATCTCAGTTTCAGGCTCCACGCCAGGCTCCGGTCCAATTGATGTGTCTCTCACGTCAATGTTTCTCTGTGTCTCTCCCCCTCCCTTCCACTCTCTCTAAAAACAGTGGAACAAAAAATATCCCCAGGTGAAGATTAACAACAACAAAAAAGAAGTAGCACTTAATATTTGACATAAATTGCTCAAAATTTCTCAAGCTTACAAAGGAGTCTCAGTAAGAAATGGAAATTAGGGTTCTCTGGATTCTTAGTTTTAAGAACGATCTAACTCAAGTTTAAGTCACTGACAAGTCTGGAGTGTGTTCCAGCTTCAGGCATGGCTGGATCATGATGCCCAAACAATGGGGTCCTAAGGGGTCAGTGTCTCACCCTCCCTGCTCGGCTCTAAGCTGGCTACATCCTCAGGCAGGGACCACTTGCGGCAGGAAGATGGCTACCAGAAACACCTGCTAAGCGGCCCTAGGACGGGGGAGCATCTCTCTACCCCTTACCACTTTCCAACAGAGATCCCATGCCTGGGTCTCCCTGGTCTGACTTGAGTCATCTGGCTAATCCCCGACATGAGTCGCTGTGGCCAGGAGGTAAAGACGAGATAGGCAAGGCAGAGTCCCAGGCCCTGCCTGGATCCCGGGAGACAGGGTCGGCACCGTCTTAC